CAACAAAAACATCTGAAAGAACTAAATAATTTGCCAAAATCCTATACAATTTGACCCGGTAACAATGCCAAATTAAAACAAAACAAAAAAAAAAACAATACAAGAACTTCACTTACTCGATAAGCCAAGTCGTGTAAATTGGACCCAATCATCCGGACAAAAAAAAAAAAACAAAAAAAACTTCATATTCCCTTTATAAGAAGGATCTTCTTATGAGGGCCGCTATTTTCGGAAGCAACTCCCGAGCGGATGCTTCTTCGACCTCTACAGTCTTAACCTCTTCAAGGTCAACCTCTATCTTACCTGCATATTCTCACAATATGCGTTTCTTACCGCCGTCTCTTACTTGCATAATGCAAATGGTTCAGTAACCATTTGCATTGAGTAGTTCTCGTACTTGGGTTAACTTTTGGTAAAAATAGTTCTGGTAATTAATAGATAACATTTATCGGAATCTAGAGAGCAATAATCCATGTATTGAGGCATTAATAATATATGCTTGAGATTTAGAAAAATTGTTATTTTGCTGCAACAATGGTAAATATTAATGGCTAATATTAGCTGTGTCTTTATAAGGAAACAATTGGTATTCACTGACCGAACTGCTTGTACTACTGTCAGTTGAAATATATAAAATCTTTCTCTTAAATTTTTTCCGGTAAGTAGATTTTTCAAGGTCAGTAGCTGTTATCGCTCTTTCCAGTACGCATGGGAGTTTCCTTCCTAGCCTTCTATTTGAAATAGTGTGCAATGTCAAGGTCTTGATTATCTCATGGTCAGAAATCGAACGTCTTAACCACTTGGCCACTCGCCTATATCGTTGTATGTGATACTGTAGCGCCATTCTTAAGGATAAATTAAGGATTGAGCTTGCTAATATCTACACTCATATCAATTTTTATCCATTGATCTGAAAATTGGTTGTATACCTAAAAAAATTTAGATATTTCTGAACAAGTATGGCACTATACATGAAAACTACATGATTAGGATTAGGTTTCCGGTCCCTTTTAAAGTCTACTGCTGCTCTATACTTTTAACGTAGTAAATAGGTTCGCCTATCGTCCAGCTCACACCCATGCCCGGTCTTTTGAGCAGGAATAGAAGTTTTTTCCTTGTTTCCTGGTTAGGACTGGGCTTCCTGTTCCTTCTAAAGTCTACTTCAGCTCTATACATTAAAGTCTCGGACTGAACATTGAACATTTATCTGCTATTTTTCTTCTCAATAATAGATAGATTCGCCTACCGCCCGGTATACACGCCTTCATAGTTTTGAACAGGAGTAAAGGGTTATCCCTTGATTCTTTTTTTTTAGATTAGTTTCCGATTTCGTTTAAAGTCTTTACATTCTTTTTCACTCACAATAAGCCCTTGTGCCTGAATGGATTTTCACCTTGCTTGGAGTGAATTGATTAAAAAAAAAACTTCAAATGATTCTTCCATACACCAAGGTATTTGAAGTATTTACTATTTCGACATCCTGAAATTTTATGAGTAATTCAGGATATATGCTTTCATTTAAATTCCAGTTCATAGTTTCTGCTTTGTAAAAGTTTATCTGGTGTATTATTCCTTAGAACACATAAAGATGATATTAAATCTGCTAAATTCCCTCAGCATTCTCATCAATATCCCTGCTAAATTATGCAATGAATTGTAAAGTCACAATTCTTCATCCGATTCGGTTCTCCATCAATAATAATATTAATAAGAATTCTATCTTGGAATCACTCCGTTCATTATTGGTTTTAATATTGCGATTGTTCGAAATTGCAGTGATTATCAGTAAGGTCAAATCCGAGGCGTTGGGAAAGGCGAACTTGAATCATTCATGAATAAAATTAACAAATTGACTTTCCAGCATCTATCTGCATTCATTAACTCGTTTTTTTTTTGTTTTAATCATTTGTATTTTTCTTTCGTTTTCGAAATAGTCAGCTGATTTGTTACTTAGTTTTGTTCATGTTGAAGTGTTTATCAATTGGCGGTCGACGGTACGGTTGGGCAAGTTACAAAACTCAGCGACGCAATAATGTTATCTTCATAGCATTTCCGTTAATATTGCTAAATTAACAGTTGCAAAGAAGTGTTATATCTTAGTAGTTGTTGGAGGATAATAACATAGAAAAAGAAACAATAGGATAATCTGAATGAATGAAACAGGAGAAAACAAAAGAAAAAAAAAACGGATTAATAATAGCTATGAATTAATAATATAAGTATTTTAGAAAACGACAAATAAGAATGGAGAATGGGTTAAAGCGGACCTCTTTCGCCTCATAACCAACTGATTCGAGTCAATTGAGTTCGACAGCACGGGAAAATAGTCCAACGAAAAGAAGGAAACCCGTCATTTTTTAACCTTCACTGACCTGCACTCGTATCCAAACACAGAAATGCCATGAATGTAAATCTAGACAGTAAATCCTGGGTTGAGTCCGGAAGGCAGTTGATTGTCTACCATTACAACCTCCCAGCAATTTCTGTATCCAAGCCGGTTCCAGATGCAATAGCCCGTAATGCTTTGGATCTTTTCGGTTCGACTGAGTGGCAAAATTTTACGGGAGAAACGAGAACACGAGAATGTAAAATTAAGATGAGAAGCAACTTTACCAGCTGACAATATTAGAAGAATTGTTAAGCGAGTGGCGTGGATATGCAAAGGGAATCTGAAAGAGAAAACGAAAATGCGCTTCTGGTGACCCAAAAGAACAACATATGAACGAATTATAAAAAGGACAGGATGAACATGAGATAATGGAAAAGCCATTGTATAATAATAATAATAATAATAATAATAATAATGTGATAATAAAAACGTTAGAACGAATCATATATAAGCAAATACGACGGGGCAACTCCAGCGGTGTAATGGTTGTTTCGCTAGAACAATTACGACTAAGTAGTGAGTTCGATTCTCACTGGGTTCCCCCTACTTTCGGCCTTGCGCCACATCTAAGCTACGCTTAGAAAATCATTTGGGCACCTCGAGGCGGTGTAATGGTTAGGAAGCTTGTCTCGCTAGAACAATTACGACTGACTAATTCGCTTCGCGCATTCGTATTTATGGATATTCGACCGAACTTGAATGTATTGAAAACCCGAGAAAATCGAAATTGGATGAGGAATCGAAACAATCCAGACATAACGAAGCTGCCAGGACATCTACTTATAAATGGCGAAAAGCTCTCGTTACACGAGCTCCTGTTTAAATCCAGGTTCGTGCTAACATATAAACAATATTCATTACCAAAACTTAAATTCATAAAATCTATTTATTATGAGTAATACAAAAATGTAGCATAAGGCGAAAAGGGGAGGGGAGGGGAAGGTTGGTCTTCAATCTGTCTTAAACTTAGCTTGCAACAATTAGCCAACCATGTCACACTATTTTTTACACAAAAAAGACATTCTTACCATTCTTACTACAGCCACCATAATACCTCAAAATATCTATAAAGTCCTTACTAGTTCCGATAAATACAGTGTGGTCCGTAAGTCTTGACACCCCTATCAGTATCATCTCAGGAGAAGCTGGTTTGCCGAATCTTTCAGTGAAGTCATGTCGCACATCGTCCATACTATTGCCAAAATGCACACGATCATGTGTCCATACACTTGCAAGCAGCCTCTTTTCCAAACTGTAGGAGCCCGTGTCAGCCATCTGAAATAGAAAATTATAGTGACAAGACTTTCGGACCACCGTATAAATTTGTCTCTGGCGGGAGGAAAATAAAATAACATTTAAGAATAAAACCCCAATGAGAAAAGTTCATCAGAAAAATTACCAGGAACTTATTTATAGAAAACATACAAAGAAGCGATGTTACGGCGCTTGGAAATGGACTAAAGTCGAGATACCAGTTCAGGATCTATAATATTGCAGATTCTTTAGAATTGATCAAGAATCTCTGAATATATGGCTGTGGCAGAAGACCAGATGTGGTAGCAATATTGAAAGCAAGGAAGAGTGATAGATTTATAAATATGTAAGTCAGTTGCCTGACCGTAACTAATTCGGCATATCCCCTAGAGAGTAATGCATTATGTATCTGGTGGTTCGCAGGGGTGGTTTGGTAGCGTTAGGACTGCACGTTTTATTTTTTTTTCTATCCTTTTAAGCTTGATTTAGCTAAGGCGAATTGGGCGTCACACCAACATTCTTGGAAATACAGTCGCTTGGAAACAGCTTGAGCTGATAGGTTTACCCGACATGAAGTTAGATTTAACTGCACCGAGCCTGCAAGTTTAGCACTGATTTTATCGAAACTTTGCGCAATATCGTAGCCATTTTTATTGTTATACTCACATCTTTACCTGAATAAACATACTGACGGTTATATAAGGCTTGGTGTAATTGTACCATAGGCTCACTCTTTTTAGTGGGTTGTTTTCTCACTTAATAATAATATAATAATAATAATAATAATAATAACTCATTATGATCATGAAGTAGAACCTAAACCGAAGTGGAACATGCTTAAGAAATATAACTAAAGGTATGAAGTGGTATAGGCAGGAGTGAAGACAAACTGCTGGTACTTGAGGAGGAAATATTTCGGCTTCTTGGCAGTGATGTTTTATTCATAACAATGTCTGTGCCTTGGGACACTTTCAATATTTTTTATCGATCAATAGAGTAAATTGATATGGGGGTGGGGGTCAATGGAATTCAATAAAAAAAGAGTAAAAATAAAATAGAATAACATATTCAGAGAAATTAAAAGGAAATAGAAAATTTAAGTGAGAAAAAGTAAGCCAAGAACAAACTGAAAACAGAAAAAATGTGTTATGGGTGGAAAATGGAAAAAGAAAAGATGTAACATTGAACAGAAATAAAAAAAGACTATAAAACAAACGTGAAAGACGACAAAAAATAAAAGGAAAAAATGAAATTCTAAACTAAAATCAAAGAAAATAAAAAATAACAATTATTGAAATAAATAAATAAATCCTATTGAAAGAAATAAGTAAAGAACGACAGAAATAAATAATACACGCTATTTGAAAGAAGGTAGAAAGAAAGAAAGAAAGAAAGAAGAAATTATAAGCGCTATTTGAATAAATAAAACAAACAAGCAAGAAAGTAATGATAACGCTGTTTGAAGAAAGAAAGAAAGAAAGAAAGAAATAACATAATCTATTTGAAGAAAGACAGAAACGTTAGTTGAAGAAAAAAAAGAAAAGACTAATAAAATTTATTGGAAGAAAGAATGAAGAAAAAAGAATGAAGAAAATTTAAAGCGATACAAGAAAAGGAAGCAAGAGAAATAATGATAAAAAAAAACTAAACAAAATTAAAAAAGTGAATGATAATTAGAGAAAGAATTAGCATAGAATCACAACGAAAGAAAGAATTAAAAAGAAATAAATTAATAATTTTAGAATAAATTTAGGAAGAAAAATAACCAAAAAAGAAATAGAAGCAAGAAATAAAAATATAAAGAAGAACAAACATTGGAAGAAAGAATCAAAACAAGAAAAAGAAAGTATGAAAAGGAGACAAAAAGAAAGAATATGATCGGGAATGTATGAAATTATTAAAACTAAATAAATAATCAATTCTATTGGAAGAATGAACAAAAAAAGATAAAGAATAAACTATAAATGGAACATAAAATTAAGAAAAAAAAACAACAACATTTTGAAGAGAAAGAAATAATCAGAAAAATTCTATTTTAAAAAAAAATATATTTAAACCTAAATAAATTATCAATTCTGAAGGGAACCCATGAAAAAGACGATTTTAAAAAAAAAATAAAACATCTGAATACATTGATGTGCGCGTTGCCGAATTCAAATTTCAGCCAAAAAATTTGTATTCCCTTTAGCACAAATACGCTTGCAAAGGTATGAGTCCATGTGTTCTTCACGCTTTTTAGCAGGGCCGACTGCGTTCTCTAGTTTTTTCATAGAATGCGGGCTAGGAGAAGGGCCAACTCTGAATTCAGTTCCGCTTGAGCGTGGTACAAGCGATCCCACGCCGAAAACCTCTACTTGTTTGATGAGGTTGCATCTCTACACTCTATAAGTGTTTCTACTTAAATAATAATATATAGGAAGAAAATGGAAAAAAAAGAAGAAAGTTGATGATCTAAAGTATAAGATAAAAGTGAATAATAACATAAAGTTTCTAAAATGTGGAAAACTCGAAAGGAAACGAGAAAAAATCAAGTAAATAAGACTAAGTAAATGAACAGAATAGGGAAGAAAATATAACAAAAAAAAAATAAAATAAAAAATAACTCGACCTAACAATAAATACAGAATTGTTTTCTCTATAGGGTGACTAATAAAGATTATTGGTCCTTAAGCAGTTCAATATCTGTCGTAATTTTTATAAACATGCTACAGTGCAATTCAACACCTCGTCGTGGATTATTGGTTAGGAAGATAATCTCGATAGAACAATTACGACTGATAAATCAGTTCGATCCTCACTGGGCGCCCCATAATTGTGCCACATTTAAGCTACGCATAGAAAATCACTATGTATTGTCTGTCCTTAAACTGTGAATCATCTGACGAAATTTTTATAAACATGTTGCATTGCAATTTAACACCATGTTTAGTGTAATGGTTAGCAAGCTTGTCTCCCTAGAACAGTTATGACTGAATAGTGAGTTAGATTCTCACTGGGTGTCCCATACTTTCGGCCATGTGCCACATGTAAGGTACGCTTGGTAAATTATCAGAAGAATTACGACTGAATAGAGAGTTCGATTACCCAATATTTTCGGTCTTTTGCCATATTCTAAGCTACGCTTACAAAATTAACAGGTTGCAGAGCAATAGTGTTATAAACTGACTATTACTATGTTTGATCATTACATACTATTTCAGCTTTTAACCTTAATTAAGCTAGATTCTGTTATTATTTTGGGCCATGCACAACATCCAAATGAATGAATGATTCGACCTGACTAGGCTATTTAACAACAATTATCCGAATCTTTAGATTAATTTGCTTGGTTTTGTAGCAACTTTTTGCCAAAGGTTAATCGTCAATCCTTATTCACCTGACGAATCACGTTTTTATATTTATAGCATTGCAAATGGCAGCTCGAAATTTCTGGCTCCCAGCAGTCATCAGTGTTTCGGCCGAATTTAAAGCCAGGATTTTAAAAGTTGATTTTCAATATCGGCGGATTCCTCGACTATTCTATCATGTTCTATAAGGAAGAATACCTTTCTTTAACCTTGTTTCATACGTATCTATGTTCTATAAATATCATCCATTTTCTCGCCAGAACAAAAAAGAAAAACCTCTTTCCTATCAGAAAGCAATAAAAAAAACAAAAAAAAAACGATAACACCATTGTAATATGAAAATCACGTGGCAAAAATATAGATGATTAGAAAGAAGAATGTAAATAAAAAAATAAAATAAGATAAAACAATGATATTTTGCCAAAAGTGTTAAGAAAATGTCTCCTTCCTTCTTTGTATAACCTAATATATTTTCTTGGATAGTTGTCTCTTCTCCAAATCATGTGTGTTTATTCGTTGATTAGTTTAAATGCCCCGGAACTTGTTCCAGACACTTGCTCTCCGTATATAAATATTTGTTTTCTTAATTTGCTACATGATCTATGTCGTTTTTTTTTCTCTATATGCATAATCGATCGATTTTTTGACAAACATACGCCGAAAAAATAGATTATCATGAGTGCAAGACGTTAAAGCCAGAAGAAGATAGGCAGAAACCCAAACAAAAGTATCCACCTAGTTTGTCATTTATAAAAGTGGATCAATAATTCCGAAGTCCGACAAAAAAATTGGATCGATAATTCCGTAGCCTGACAAAAAGTGGATCAATAATTCCGTAGCCTGACAAAAAAGAGAATCAATAATTCCATAGCCTGACAAAAATGTGGATCAATAATTCCGTAGTAATTAACTGAATATTGATCTGATATCTTTCCAGTGTAATTGTCTATGTGATTAATATTTACTACTGAATTAAGTGGATTGTTAGAAAAATTATTTGGACTATTGTCCTCATCTTTATCGCCATATTTATTACAACGTTTCGGCCGTTGTACGCTCCGGCTTTCTTCAATTGGTTGGAATGTCGAACTGAACCCTTTATTTCGCTCACTGGGGTAGACTGTTCTAGTTTCACTTGCCATGTTTAATGGATGTCAGTTATCTCCTGTTAATTCCTTTCTCCAAGTTCTCCACTGCCTTAACCGGGTATTGAACTCACACTCTTTGGGCCGTGTCGCTGGATGTAAATAACGCCTTTATTCACTGTGCCATGAATCTTTGAGGATGCCTAATTATAGTAAAATTAGCAACAATATATTTTTAAACCATCATGACAAGTATCTCTAGGCAGAGTGGGTAAAGTGGATAAAGGCGTTGGTTAGATCCAGTGACAGGACACAAAGAGTGTGAGTTCAGTACCCGGTTAAGGATACCCTGGACACCTTGGCGAGGGGAATTATCAGGAGATAACTGATAAGTGACATCCAATAAAAACATGGCACGTGGAACTAGAACAGTCTAACCAGTGAGCGAAATAAAGTGTCCAGTTCGACATTCCAACTACTTGAAGAAGGCCGGAGCGTAGAATGGCCAAAACGTTATAACAAATATAGCGGCAAGGATTAGGACAATAATCCGAATAATCTAAATAGTGTACATAATACCTCATCTCAGTGATATAAACACATACTGAATTTTTAAAAAATGTTTTAGAAGAAAGGGTTTTTCATCATTCGGCAGTGGTGTCATTATCACAGGTATGGTAAAATATGTACTGCATTATTCTGGATCAGATGAAAACCAATGTTTTAGATAAATCATCCAAATTTTCCTAAACCTACCTACCTACTTGCTAGATTATCTTAGACAACAGTGCATAGTTTCTTTGTTTCCAGGGTCTTTCAGTTAATCCTATGTATACTTTTTCTTCATTATCTGGTGATTTTACTGTGGCTTATTTTGCTCTGCAAGCAATTACCGTTGAAGGGATATTCATTCTCTATTTTACAATTACAATTTGTTCTGGTGGTTTGTTGATAGTTTTCCTGATGTGTTTTTTTATTATTTGTGACATGTTCTCGGTGCAACTGTAGCTGATTTTTACAGTGATTTTGTTGAATATCTTGTGTAGAGTGCGTGATTCTGGGAAGTGTTTGTTTAGCAGTTTGAAGAATATTTTACCTACCTTTTTTTTTTACGTTTTTGCTGTACGCTTGGTTGAACCATATCATATCACACAAAAGATCTTTCAAAAATAGTAAATCCGCGAAAAGCACAACGCTTTCTAAGATTATCTGGCAAATTAAAACCATAAATCGCATCAAATATCACACCAAAATTATCATGGAAAATAAGGAAAAGATCATAAGCCTACATCAATCACTCATAAGCCTGCAAACTTTGCTTGGAGGAAAGAAATGTTATTATTACCTTCCCAGATCAAAATAAATTACTAAATGAACGATCTGAACTTATCTCAAAACGTAGACATGAATACAAATTTCTACTACGTTGCATAAAAATCGTAAACGAAAAACAATAAATAAAAATAAACACAATAATATTAAAAAAAAATTGAAATAAATTAACACAAACAAATAATAAACTAACAAAACACTCCCGTTAGAATAGTGGAAATAGAATAAATAAAAAATAAATAAGTAAAGATAAGTAAAAACAATCACCTCAAATAAGTAAATAAAGTAAATAATAAACAAATTAACAAAACAATCCCGCCAAATTAATCGTTAGAATAACGTACAAAAATCAATCTAAACATCGGACGAAAAAATAGGTATGACTGATATAATAGCAATAAAAAACAATCACTACGTTACTCCAAAATCGAAAACCGAATAAAGTAAATAAAAATATACAAAATAAAAAATAAGTAAATAAATAAGAGAAAACAAGTAAAAAGTAATTCAAATGAATAAATAAATGAACAAATTAACAAATCGTCCCCGCTATAATAACCGGCGGAACTAATAAAAGCAAACATAAGCGGAAACAAATAATCAGTCCAAATAAATAAATAAATAATAAACAAATTAAAACAGTCCCCTGACAAAATAATAGAATAGACAACGACAATCAAACCAGTAATTGGACGAATAAATATCTTTAATTATCTTCCCAGACCAAAAACTATTAAATAATTGACTAAAGCAATTTTTACTAGGGTAATAAAACATCAAAAATGGAAAATAAAAAAATAAAAATTGAAAATAAAAAACAAGTAAAATAAATTCAGCCAAATAAATAAATAAATAAAAAAGCCACTCCCGCAAACCTAACAGTCAGAATGGATTGCCCACAATGCACCACTGAACCATATATATATAAATAGGCGAGAAAAATCCAACACACGCGGCCTGACGATTGCGTCTAGCATGAAACAGCTTGTCGCCTCAACATTTATTGCATTGTGGGTATTCTATTATGGCGGTTATTTTTACCGGAAGTCGCTTTGTTTATTTATTTGGGTCAAATTATGTTGCTCGTTTTTATTTTCTTGTTTCTTATTTTATTTATTTATTTATTTATTAACGTAGTAAAAATGTGTTTATATCACGTATTTAACAGTTTTGTTTTGGTTTGAGAATTTAATT